GAACTCTGGGGCAGTTTCGGGGACTGGAGTGAACTCTGGGGCAGATTGAACTCTGGGGCAGATTCGGGGACTGGCGGGAACTCTGGGGCAGATTCGGGGACTGGAGTGAACTCTGAGGCAGATTCAAGGAGTGGAGTGAACTCTGGGGCAGATTCGGGGACTGGAGTGAACTCTGGGGCAGATTCGGGGATTGGAGGGAACTCTGGGGCAGATTCGGGGACTGGAGGGAACTCTGGGGCAGATTCGGGGACTGGAGTGAACTCTGGGGCAGATTCGGGGACTGGAGCAGGCTCAGGAATGAAGTTAGGAAACATGACGGATTCTGGAGCAGAGTTTGGGGCTATAGTGGACTCGGGAATAGATTTGGAGACTAAAGTTATCTTTATACTGTGTTCAGGAGCTGAAGCCATCACTAATCTAAGCTCAGGGACTGGAGCGAACACTGAGCTTTGTTCCGAGGCTGAAGCAGACACAAGACTGAGATCAGGAGTGGAAACAGACATCTCTGGGATCATCTCTGAGCTAGACTTGGGATCAGATTCGGGGAGTAGAGTGGGCGCCACCACCTCGGGAAGTTCTGCAGCCAAGACTGCCATCGCTGGGGAAACTACGGTGGTGTGTGCAGCCCAAGCACAGAGAATAGCGGTAGCCATGACTGGCAGGACAGAGAGTACATTGTCTATTTCTGAGATTGACGGCGCTGTGCCTGGTGAACTGGAGTGAGTAGCGGCCGGCAGGCTTGAGAGGGATGAAACTGTGACTAGTGAGCGTAGAGTCTGCGGTGCTCGGGAACGTAGCGACCCTTGGAACCCAGCAGCTCACACGACACCAACTGAGGGTCCTCCACGCTGGATGCCAGCCTCGAATGCCTTGAGACTGACTTTGTGTCTTCAGATGCAACATTCACGATGCTCTGGAACACTGGAGTGGCATCCGTGATGACTGAAGTCTGTGACCTGACAAAGGCCGGAAGGCCAGAGGCTCTGGCGTGGCAGGCTTTGGAAGATCAGCTGAGATGGGACGAGACTCTGGAACGGAAGCCATTTCGTGGGTAGTCTCTGGGCTGGTAGCCATTTTGCAAAAAGTATTGTTGAAAAGTAAAAAGCACTGTTGGATTCTCCTGCGTGACATGCTTGATCCTCCACCGTTACAATACACATGCACAAATACACACAAACAAACACACAGGTATATACACACAATTGTCCTGTGTGTATGCAGAGCACTGTGTGTGTGTGTGAGTGTGTGTGTGTGTGTGTGTGTGTGTGTGTGTGTGTGTGTGTGAGTGTGTGTGTGAGTGAGTGTGTGTGTGAGTGAGTGTGTGTGTGAGTGAGTGTGTGTGTGAGTGAGTGTGTGTGTGTGAGTGTGTGTGTGTGTGT